CGGCGGAGCTGCAGTCTCCTCCCCTCTCCGCCCCCTCCGCCGCGGGGTCCCGTGTGGCGCGGGCCACCCTGCGAGCTCGACTCCCTTGACCTGTCAACTCTCCTCCCGCGCCCGGGGTCGCTCCGCGGGTCCCAGGACACTGACAACCCCTCCTCTGCGACCTGCGAGGGCGGCGAGGTGCGGGGCCCGAGGTCCCGCCTCCCGGGGTGCAGGCGCACAGCCTTACTCGGGACTGGGGCGCCGGCTCCACGCCGGCAGGAGCGTCGCTGACCGTTCGTCCCCTCTGGTTCTCCAGCCGGTCTGACTCGCGCAGTAGCCCCGACTGGCTCAGGCTATCCCAGCTCCTCCTGGAGCGCAGCGACGAAATGGCCTCTCGGCCGCGCACCCTGTCACCGCCCGAACAGCCCGCCACTCGGGTGCCCCGCGCTGCCGCCTGTGCACCTGCCGCCTAGGTGCGGGCGTCCCCCTCTGCGACACCGTGGTACCAGCGTCTTGTGCGCCACCCTCCTTGGGGTCACGTAGCTGCGGGTCTGGTAGCCGCGCGCCCACCCACCCGACTGCTGGCGCGCGGAGGTTGTAGTTGGGCGGTCATTCCTGTAGTTGAAGAGGCAGGAGTGTGTGTGTGTGTGTGCGCGCGCGCGCGTGAGTGTGTGGGGGCGGGCGGGCAGGGGAGTGGGGAGTGAATGACGGGAGATAGAGGGGACCTCCAGTAGCACAACACTCTGGGTTCGCCCGAGAGCGCGGCGACACCTGCCGCGCTCCTCCTTCCGCCCCCAAACCACTTGTGGCGCGCATGGGACCACGGGACGCTCAGATCTTCCTGGGGCTCTGGACGCTATACAGTCCCCACACTTTGTTTGGCCTAAACGAGCTGTGTCCTCCTCTCACACTCTATTATCCTCCTGGGAGTGTGTGCCGGGCTGGTTCCACTAGTAGGGTTTAAAGGGACGCCTCATTTTTTTTTTTTTGCCTCTGTCTTGGAAATACATAAATAAAACCAGAAGACAATAATAATCTCTACCCTTAAAAGGTTCTGTCCTTACAAGCACACAACTCCGAAATGTCCATACCTCAAGTCCTGAAGGCCAAGTGAGCGCTCGCTCAGGTTAGGAGAAAACACAGCGGGCGACTGGTGTTCTGCTCCAGATGACCCCGGCCGTCTCCAGGCTGCGCCTCGGAGGTAGGTTTTATTGGAAAAATGCCCGAGTACTCAGAGAACACGCTGCCAGTGGGAAGTTACAGTTGCGACAAACTACTTTGAGGACAGAATACAATTATGTTCTTATGCACAGTGTTAGAAATACCTTGAAATTCCTTCTTCAATATACGCAGGTAACGCAGAGCAGTGCCCCGAACCTGCCTGACTTGTAACTAAACCGAGGGAATAATGTCTAGATCATTGTAAAGAGTTTTCTGGGTTTCCCACGGGTGATTAGGGTTTTGTTTCCGGTGTCCCTTGGCCGCCTGCAGGAAAGGTGAAGGTTTGCACTAGCAACTGCGGTGAATCTGAAGCTGTCCCCTGCCTGGATAGAAAGATTTCAGCAGATTCAGGAGTGAAAGCTTCAGACAGCAGCTTTTGGGCGAAGACGTTGTCTTTCCCAGCGGCCTTCGCAGACTCGGTTACTCTTTGGATTCTTCGTAAGACATTTGGGTTTTACTCTTCGCCCCGAATGAAGCCACACCAATAACTTGTGGGCTCTAGAGTGAGGGTTGTTTTGCAGGCGAGTTCCTGGGCTTTGTTCCAAAGCTGCCTTGGGATGTTTTGGTTGGTTTGGAGGAAGGCTGCAGAGTCTCCAACCCAGTTCCACCCAGACAGCCCCCTGGTGGCCGCGAGGAAAAGCCAGGTGCAGCTAAGCAAGGGCAGTTTTATAGCTAGGTCCAGGTCTTCTAGGGGGCCCTTGCAAACAGCTCTGTAATAAGTAAGGGTGGTTGGTGTATGGGGAATCAAGAGGTCCCAAGAACTCCGGGATGTTTTACTACTTCTTCCGTTTACATCGGAGCTATTTTTTCCCCTTGAATTCTTTCTCAAGAACGACACGTATTGAAAAGGAACTATAACACCCCCCCACACACACACAAATCCACAAAAACATGTTCCTTTTCTTTGTTCAGATGGTTTTGTCTTTCTGATCTCACTTTGCCTGGCAAATTCTTAAATAGTCAATTAAAGTATTAAATAAGTCACATGACACAACAATTCACAAGGCTGCCTGTTGCTATGTTATATAATCACGACACTCAAACAAGGAGATCTGGTAGGATTCCACTGGAGCAAGTATTGAGACAGCCAGGTGGTGGTAAGAGGGGTCGCCATCAGAGTCTGATACACAGCAGGACAACACAGAGTCATGAGAACGATCAGAAAGGCAGAAGATATTCTAACCTGGGAGCCCAGGGTGCCCGGGCCAATCTTTGCTGACTAATGTGGTGCACACTCGCTATTTTCAGACCCCATCATCTTAGTTCACCTGAAACACTGAGTCCAACAGAGCTGGCTTGGGTCACAGTGCAGCCACCATGCAGTTTATGTACGTCTTTGTTTAACATGGTGAGAGAGATGCAGTGCTTCGTGAATGTTTGTTGTGTATGCGTTGAGTTTTTAAAAGATCTTCTCGTAATGCCGGCATGGCTTAAATTTTCAGCTTGATGTGAATGTCTGCTGTGTCTACTGTGTCTTCCTGCCTACTGTGTCTGTGATGGTACCAGAATCCTGTTGGAGAAATAAAGTTCATTAGAATTGACCAGATACAAGCGATGATGATCATGACAAGGAATTACCATGAGGAATTAGAGGTGTGGGTGCGGGCAGTCTCAAAGAACTCACGCAGAGGGAGTTTTTGGAGGTTCAGGAAGTTGTGGATACATTTTCTGAGAGAGTGGAACCTTAAATCATTTCCGTTACTCAACAGCCGTCTCTGAAGCCTGCTCCTCTGTCTTGTGACCCAGCCCTGGAGAGTCAAAGTCTCTAGGTTTTTTGTTACTTTCTATGAAGGCCCAGGTATTCTCCCCCATCTCAGCTGGCTAAAATCATAACATCTACCCATAGCGTTTCACGACAGACCTTTCAGAGAAAGTGACAGTTTCCAAACTGATGGATGGCGGTCCCCTGAGGAAGACACAGAGTCATCCTTAAGCATCCCTAGGATGACTTTCCAGACTTCCTCTGCAGATCTGTGGATGGCCAAACTCCATGAGGTAGAGGGTGTGCATGTAACCAACACTTACCCTCTTTGACCTGTAACTCGCCTCCAGATTAAACGCTATGCAAATAGGTATTAGTGTATTAAAGGATTAACAAGAAGAGAAGGTCCCTGCGTGCTCAGTGCACATGCAGGGTTTTCCGAGCATCTTCACCTGATGTTGGTTAGCTCCACAGATGCAGAGCTGGAAGTGGAAGGCTGACTATAAACTTCATGATGAGAAGTATATATCTCAAGATGAGATAAAGCAAGGAAGCCAACGGAGTGCAGCAGAGGAGGGATCCACTAAGACTGGCCTCAGAAGCTGAATGGAGCTGTCACTAGGAGGCCGAGAGAGGGAAAGTTCGAGAGAGACGCTTGCACTATTCCCTAGTCCCTGTACAAAACGAAGTCATGAAAAATTGTCAAGGTGGTAGAAAATAAAAAGCTATGTCTTGCTTCACTCTGTCTTTGGAACTGTCATGGAATTTTTGTGTGTCATTTAATATTCTAAGTACAGAAAAACAAATGTTTCAAATTATCATCACACGCTTTAAAACTCATCTATTTTGCAATGTCAGTGTGTAATGCAGTTCAAAGAGGTTTTAATAACTCATAAAACCACACTGTTCATACTTTGCAGCTCATATTTGTGTATGCGTTTTGTTGTCACTGGAGCAGTGCAAATGCAGAACACAGCAACCTCCACTTCTTGATACATGCTCATTTGGCATGCCAACAGGGGACCTTCCGCCTAGTGCTGTGTTCAAGAGACCTGAAAAGGCTCCTTCCTTTCGTGTCTTCACATTCAGGCCATCAGCTAGTGAATTCTGAGAAGTAACCACAGGTAAGTAAGTACATGAGGGCATCCTGAGTTGCCATTAACTGGGTCAAAGTCAGTTCCTGTTAAAAAGAGAGCACGGACAGTCTCTTGGGTTGGCCAGGTCCTACTTCCTCAGTTGCCAATGGAACATGCTTGCCTCATGTGTCTCTGGATTTTGCTCAAGTTCACACATTGTGAGTTCTCAGCAGTCTGTGTTCATGGGACACCAACATTCTTACATTTGAGGGTGCAGTGAAAAATTGTGGCAGACGCGCGTTCTGTATTTTCGGTGTATAAGCACGTGGTCCCTCGCCCTATCAGATTTCCCTTATAAAACACAAGTTCAAAGACGTAGTTGTGAGTGATGCCAATTTGATGAGAGCAGAGATCGGAGCAGCCAGGTATGTGTCGGTCTCCAAAGCCCTGGGATCCTCTACCAGTGGTTCTCAGCCTTCCTAATGCTGCGGCCCTGTAATACAGTTCCTTATGTGTGGTGTTGTTCCCAATCATAAAATTATTTTGTTGCTACTTCACAATTTTAATTTTGCTACTGTTATGAATCACAATATAAATATCTCATATGTAGAATATCTGGTATGCCACCCCTGTGGGGTTGTGACCCGCAGGTTGAGAAGTACTAAATTTGGGGCCAGTGCAGCCGTCCAGATCACATCCTCATGAAGCTGACCTTTGAGAAGCATGGACCCTATAGTTAAAATACCTTCCCCTAGAGGAAATGTAAACATCTAACCCTCCTCCTCAGTTCCCAACAACAAACAGAAACAGGATTCTACCGGTTCTGGAGAATTAATGACTTTATTGAACTTCCTTACACAGCATAGGTGAGGGGTTGTTTGCTCCTCCTGCCAAACAGCACCCGGAGAGTCTTTAACCAGCAAGGGTGAAGGATTTTCCTTAGCCACAAAGATGAAGCCCCTCCTCTCATCTTCCCTCACCTACATACTACTAATAAGCGATAGCTGGAAGAAGCCTGGATTCTTCACTCACCGTGGAGGAGAAACAGCCTTCTCCAACCAAACTCTTCCAATGATTGAACAAACATCTTTTTCTGCGGTAGTTGTTGAAACATGGAAGTTTATCGATTACTTTTGAGGTATATAGTGTTACCTTACTATACCTGCCCCCAGGCCAAACTCCAATGAATTATAAATCATATCCTTCTAAAGTACAGTGAAAATAGACTTGAGTGGGTCAGGCAGGAATAGAGAAAGCAAAAAGTTAACCTCCAAAGAAATTCAGAGACCTGAGTGTTAGTGACCTGAAGTGGACTCATGGGAAAACAGATGAATCATAGTATTCAATTCAGTGAATTTTTATATTTCTATGTCTAATTAACAGCCAAGACAACATAGAGAATAGTCCCAGCAATATGGAAAATTTCTCCTTTTTCTGTCAATAGCCCTTCTAGAGGTGATCACTTTGGGCTTCTGTGATTATTGATTAGTTTCTTCAGATCCTGATCTTTATGTAAACATTACCAAAAAGTATGTTACTTCTTATATCTGCTTTCTTTCATTTAAAATAACTTTTTTAGATAAATGCACTTGATTGTGTGGATTTGAAAATTTGACTTTAACTTTCTGTTCCATATTTCACCATATAACACAGCCACCTTGTCTATTCAGTTTCTAGTTGATGAATTCTTGGTATTTTCTAGCTTGGGCTATTACAAATAAATTAGCTATTTACATTCTTAAATAATTTTATGGATGCCTGCACTCATACTCTCTTTGGCACGTGCTTAGGAATAGAATTGCTGGCCAAAACCAAAACCAGATTTGAGTTATTCTATTAACAAAATATAAATAGTATGCAATAATTGTGTATAATAATATGTATTATTTAATATACAGGACTTGAATAAATAATTTGTGATTATGTATAACAATTGTAATGTAATGACACTTCTTGAGGAGCCAGAATAATTATGATCAATTAGAGGATGTTCAAATATCACCTGCTGACTTCAGTTCATCCTTACAGTTGCCATAAACAGAATATTTGAAATCAGATGGAGTCTATCTAGAATATTATCTATCATTACAAACTTGAAGTCTCCAGTCAAAATTGAAAGCGACTATTGCCTTAGGCAGCCATTAATCACAGGGTTTGTTTGCAGCTGCAGTGAACTCACCACATACTAAAGACCTGTGCAAAAACTGAAGGTGCTAAGATAGTTCCATCACCCCGCCACCATAAAGCAATTGGCAGGGGATCATTACTAGGGTAGCCCCTGGCCAGTTGCCACACACCTGTGGTCATGTGAGCAATTCCAATAATCCACAAAATCCAGAAGACAAAACAGAAGGTACGGCAGTGGGAGAAGGACTCATTGGAATGAGGAGCTTCAGGGGCAGCAGGAAGAAGATAAGAGAGGAGTGGGGGTGAAAACGACCAAAGTATGTGTGTATTTAATTGACAAAGAATAAAAATATTAAAAAGTTTCTGGTGAATTAAAATACATCCATGAGTGACTGAAGAAAGTGAGACAAGAATGCCAAGATGTTTTAAAATTAAAACCTTGTGTTATTTCTTTAAGGTACCAAGATGTTTTTAAATTAAGTCTTCATTTTTAGCTCTTTGAAAGTTAGTTTGAAGAGGAATTAAATGATTATTGGTCTTGGTAATAGGTTCTCTTGGCAGCTATCAGGTCACTGAGGCATCGTCTGCAGGATGGATTAATTTTACTTCTAGTAGGGTCCTGAGTTAGTTTTCCAAAGACCATGTTGTTATGAAAAAAAAAAAAAGCAAGATTTCCCTGACACAGTCCTCCGTTTTCCTGTGTTATTTCTCTCTTTTCCATTGACCCCATGATGATACCATCTCAGATCATCTTCTCAACCCCAGGGCCCACCAGAGACCAGATCGACAGAGCTCGTCTCCAAAATTCTGAGCTAAACAAGCATCACTGTTGTGCACGTTACCCAGCCTCAGGTGTCACACCATAACTGCGGGGATGAGAAATGGTTTTTATAGATTCAGGGGAAGCATCCCTTCTTTTTCAGAGAGGAATGAAGCAGTTCTTATTCATTTCCACAGAACAAGCTGATTCTTGGGCTATAACAACAAGTAGAACATGATTCACATGATTATGGGTTGTGCGCAAAGCCTTAAAATCCCTGAATGAGCCATGTCGAGAATGACACTCATAAATTCAATTTTACTTGCTTTCAGCAGTTCAGATGAGAGTCTCAGTTGGGGGCAATATGTGATTTACTGAAATCTACTTCCCTGTGCTCGAGTTGTGTTTTACAATAAAACCCACTGCATCCTCCTTGTGAGAAGCATTAGCACTGAACATTTCCAAACAGCTGTAGAACATATTTTTGGAGAACCATCGAGAATTCCCGTGTGTGGGGGGGACTTTTATCTAGAGTGAGTGTCAACAGGCCCGAGTTTCTGCAGTGCACAGATTTAGAGCAGAGGATTTCATAGTGCTTGCTGCGTGCTGTCCATGGGCTGCCTGAGGTCTGCAGTCAGCATCTGTGCTGCCTGTGATTGGGGGAGGGGGGATATTCCTTAGTTTTTCTAGGTGCTTCAGCCGGAAGTGAGGGGGAGCTAACTCTGCCTTGCTGAGGGCCACAGGCAGCCTGTCCTCACAGGCAAGTAGTGGCGCCCAGTGCCCCGACTCACATCAGGTTTGTATTGTGAGGGGAAGAAAAATCCTGGCATAACTTTGAAAAACAGCGAAGGTGGAATTTCTCCAGTCAAACGTCTGAGGATGAGTACTTCCTAGAGACAAGAGGGGCTTTTAGTTATTGTTTTTCGTTGGTTTGGTTGCTTGGTTGGTTTTGAATTTTTGGGTCGTTTTTGGTTTTTTTTGTTTGCTTGTTTGCTTGTAGCAGTTCTTAAGATCTGGTGAGGTCTTTTGGCACATGGCATCACCAAGCAGGGAGTACACACAGGACTGAGCGTAAGAGACAGAAATGGAGAGACATTCAAAGGATTCCCATGCCCACCTCTGTCTCACTAAGCAGCCAGGGAGGCCATACTCCTACCTCAGCCTCCCCAGAACTGGGAACAAACCTGTAGCACCACCCTCAGTTAGTGAGATCTCTTCCCAAAACCTGTTCAAAGCATGAGTTCCTCTTAAAGGCTTAGTCACTTAACACAGGTCCAACCCTTACTGTTTGCCATAGCTCCCAACACAGCCACACTAGGGATATAGCTTCTGACTAACAAGGCCTGGGGAACAAACCATATCCAAAACATGGCAGCCCTTTCCTCTCCTTGGAATCAAGCAGAGCAGAATCTTCTAAGAGGTTCCTGACTGCATCTGTTTCTTTGACCAACCTGAGGGCCTCATTGTCCCAGCTGGAATTTCTTTGTAACTAGATTGGCTTCCCACACAGCTTCAGAGGTTGCTGTAAAAGCAAAGGCTTGTACAGAGGAGGTGTGATGTTGTCTGTGGACAACTATGTCCTATCCTGACAGATTCAGGCTCATCTTCCCCACAACACACATGTAGCAATAAAAAGACTGAGACCAAGTCAAAGAACATGGACTGGATGCGTGCACAGAGCACTGGGGACAAGGTGGTTGCTCTGGCTATGCCAAGGTTGCCACCAGCTAGACACCTTGATCATTGCCACCAGGTATGGAATCAGGGCATAA